CACTGATACGGAAAAACATAATTTTGCAATCTTGTCCGTATGTCTGTGTGTCTGTCTGTGTGTCTGTGTGTCTGTCCTGTCCGTGTGTAAACACGATAACTTGAGTACCGTTACAGCTAGGTTGATGAAATTTCATATATAAGTATTTAATCAAAATCGTAGATCCGTATCAACTTTTGAGCGATTTCCGATAACCGGAAGTGGTACTTTTCCTACTTTGAATTTTTCAAAAGCCTATAACTTGAGTACTATTTCAGATAGATAAATGAAATTTCATATGTAAGTAAAAGATCTAATTCTCTACCTTCTATTAAATTTTGAGTCATTTCCGTTGACTGGAAGTAGTACTTTACGCTACTTCCGATTTCTCAAAAAACTAATGTAAATTTTAAAAGTACTAATAATATTGCGCACCATTATGCGCTTTTTTATTTGGCGTTCACTTGGTGTGCAATTAATTTGTCTACGAGATTTTATTCTATTTTTAAAACTTTAAGTATTTAAAATGGATTAAAAATCATGTCTATAGCCCGAGTTCCCATCCCCTGTTATTTTATATAAGAATATTCGAGAAAGTTTAGGGGAGATCACTCCCGGTTTATTTAGACCATGACATCGTAAGAACCGCTCTATTAACCAGGTCACATCCGGGTGTTCAGACCACCAGCCGCAGTGCATGATGGGCAGCTTGAAGAGATTTAATTATCTGCCCCTGTCTAACAGTAAACAATCCGCTGTTTTGTCTTCATTCAGAGACAGCTAATTAGAATGCTTGATTAAAAAAAATATTACAGTGCTGTAAGTTTAAATCGTCACGTGAACAAAGAGTTGTCCTGAAGTTATTTAAAATGTTTAGCTCCATGGCATTGGAAATCTTTTCTGTCAACATTTTTTATTAGAGACTTCCGTCTATTAGACAAACCTAAGGGAACAAACTCATGCATGATTTATTCCATTAGATCAGGGGCGTAGCGATCCCTACCGTGTAGATCCCTATACTTTCAATTTGGCGCCCCCCCCCCCCCCCCCCATATATTTTTAAAATTTATAATTCAAAACTGCAGCTAATATGAGCTTTCAATTTTTAAAAACATTTTGGCGCCCCTAGGGTCGGCGCCCGAGGACATATGTACCCCCCGCCCCCCTCCCCCCGTCGCTACGCCTTTGCACCAGATACAGATATCTTGGTGTATGTCAAACTCATTACAAGGCCAGCAACACGCATGAATGGTTATTGTTTTAAATTAATTAAATTATGAAGCAATTAAAATAATTGCAGCGTACACGCCTTTTTAAGTTAACATTCGTCGTTTGTCATTGTGACATTTGTCGTTTATCATTGTGAAACTGTTTGTCATGTTTACATGACATATTTACATGACATCTGTACATGACATGTTTACAGATGAATTTAAACTTCATTTGTCAATTGCCAGAGTTTGTTTCACACATAGTTTTTAAACATTTAAAAAAATTTTTTATACTTGTTTACAAAAATTGAAGTTGTTTCCCTTAAGTTATAGACGCTACCTTGTGTAGTTGTTTCCCTTTAGTTACAGCCACTACCTTGTGAAGTTGTTTCCCTTTAATTATAGCCGCCACCTTGTGTAGTTGTTTCCCTTTAGTTATAGACGCTACCTTGTGAAGTTATTTTCCTTAAGTTATAGCCACTACCTTGTGTAGTTGTTTCCCTTTAGTTATAGCCACTACCTTGTGAAGTTGTTTCCCTTTAGTTAGGGACACTACCTTGTAAAGTTGTTTACCTTTAGTTATAGACGCTACCGTGTGTAGTTGTTTCCCTTTAGTTATAGCCACTACCTTGTTAAGTTGTTTCCCTTTAGTTATAGACGCTACAGTGTGTAGTTGTTTCCCTTTAGCTATAGACGCTACCTTGTGTAGTTGTTTCCCTTTAGTTATAGCCGCTACCCTGTGAAGTTGTTTCCCTTTAGTTATAGCCGCTACCCTGTGTAGTTGTTTCCCTTTAGATATAGACGCTACCTAGTGTATATCATTACGCTGGTGAGAGGCAGTTCATGACGTGTGTGTCTACATGCATGAGTGAGGTACACTTGAGCAAGATGCTCCTTTCTCATCCAGGTTTATAGAGTGCAAATATGTTAAATATGTGCTGAGAAGTACTGAGATGTGTACTGAGATGTTCTGAGATTTGTACTGAGATATGTACATAAGTGATGTGCACTTTAGGGCAGTGGCGTCGCTAGGACAGGTGTCAAGTGCCCCCCCCCCCCCCCCGGAGATATAAATCTGAGGGAAACACTGTACATTTAGGTTAAATGTAAAAAAAAAACTCTTTTAAGAATTAGCTTTTGCTAAACCGTATTTAATGATTCACATTTAGGGATATAGCCAACGTTAATTAAGCAAATTAAATTACATTATTTGTATGTAATTATTTATTTTTAATATCTGTCTAAAAGAGCCAAAAGGGCCATGGGAGTCGCTTATAGCCGGCTCAATGTAGATCTATGACTCATCTCGCCTGAAATAAAAATAAAAATGATTCTGACTTTGTTTAGCCACATGTATGAATTATCTCCCCAATGTAAACACATGCTTTTAGATAAGAAACATGGAGGTATAAATTACCTTTGTGACAAAAATTGTCATGAGAAATTTCGTAGTTGGAGGGTCAAAGGTCAAGTGTGGGAGGATGCACGGGCATAGTTAGGAGTGGGAGTGCTGCTAGGGAGACAAGTGATGTGATATTTATCCAGAAGCTTATTCATTAAAAAATTTGTTGGCATATCGGCTTTCAACAAGAGGATGGGGGGGGGGGGGGGATTTCATGTGAGTTAAATTTTCACACGCGTGCTTACGTGGCAGTGCTCACCCTAAGACAATGTCCATCCAGTCGGCTGCAACTTGACAGGTCACGTGTTAACTACACTCAGTCACGTGATCAAGTTGCTAGGGTAGCCTTAACAGTGCTGATCCCTATGCCAAGCCCACGTGACATGTATACACCTAACAACTGGGCACGATGCATGTTGATAAGACAAAATATGTAATAACAAAATACGTATTGTAGAGGATAAATAAAGAGTTTATTTTAAGACTTCGAGGAATTCTGCAAGCAGTGTAGATATTATGGGATGGAAATCCCCATCCCTTGGAATTAAGGTATCAAGACGCTGTCTGGAACATGTTCCACCTTGGTCTATTGACAATGTGTACAGTTCCTAAGTGAGTCACCCTTTGCTACAAAAAATTCGCCTAAAATGGAACATGTTCCATCTAGCCCTTTTGGCACAGAGAACAGTTCCCTGGTGAGTCAAGCCATGCCGCATAAGAAAGCTTTTAGATTTGCCTAAAATGGAACACTGCTAGCTAAATGGATGTTAGCCAAAGATATGAAGCAACCAAGGTACCGTTTCATGGAAGTATCGCTGAAAAGAGAAAAAAAAACCTAACGCATATTTTCTTATTTGGCCACATATTTTCAGTTGGTATTAAACGTCGTGGTACGATCCGCCGTTCTTCTGTTTTCGCGTCAAGTAATCTCGTACACGTCTAGACAGTCGATGGGTATTTGCACGGTCCCGTGCCAGCCGCGCACCAGGCACCCAGCAACTGAGCACTTCAGGTTAAGTGACTAAAAGATCCCCACTTATGCAACGTGAATCACGCGAATGCTCAAAACTGAGACGCCGTGGTAATGACTCCTGTCTGACTCATGTATGACTCCTGTCTGACACGTAATGGCAGAGAGTAGCAAAGCTAATTAACACACACACGCATACTCAAACATGTACTCTCTCACACACACAAACACACTTGAGCACAAAGACTTGTCCACACAAGCTATATATATATATATATATATATATATATATATATATATATATATATATATATATATATATATATATATATATATATATATATATATATATATATAAACATATATATAAACACGTATCCACGCACGCTGTAAATTTTTAAAAATCCCATTTGATATACATATATATTATGTATTCGTATAATATGTATATTGTTGTACATATAGCGTAAATATATACTATATGTGTGTGTGTGTGCGTATGTATTTATTCGCCAACTGACATATTGTTCAATGCTTTCCAGAGAAACTCCACAACTTGATTTTTTTTAAAACTTGTACTTAAGTGCAGGATAGGCCCGTATAAACAACATTGTCCTTAGAAAAAATGTTTCCGAAATTTCATAGGCGTCCTTACGGCTGTCCATGGATGAGATGGTGTCGTGACATGTTGCCACTTTTGATGTTGTCTTGTTATTTTTATTTTGGTTTACACACATTTAGACTTTAAAACATTATACCAGTACAATTGTTTTAGAAACAACATTATAGTTTTTTTAAAATGTATTTCAAATTGTATGAGTCGGGAGAATGTTACGCTGTTCTACCTTTGTTTTTACTTTAGAAGTTACATTTTTTTCGCTAGGTAGGCCTGCTTTTAGATTTTTTAAAAAGTTATAAAATTAAAATATAAACGCTAAATAAAGCAATTTCCTTTATCTAGAATTGTGTATGCTTCAATGAATGCATATTTTGAAAAAAAAATTAAATATTACTGTGCGTTTGGCACTGAAGTAGTTCTTTATTTTGAAATAGAAAACCGTTTTAAAATTAAAAGCTGTTTTAAAAATTACTGGCAGTTGAAGCTTTACAGAGCTGTACAAAACTTGTCACTTCATACAACCACCCTACCAAGCATTTGATCAGGTTACGCCCATGAAAAAATAAACCCCGTGTTAATTCTTAGAAAGCTGAACACATTTTGAAATGCTAAATACTTTACAATATCCGTATCATATCCACGTAATATTCGGAAATATGCCATTCATTTCTGACGCTTTTAATTTTTTTTTTAAATGACGTGTTAAAAATAAAATTAATTCCATCCCCCTTATGAAACAGTGAAGTCTCCAAACTTATCCTATTGGTTCCCGGACCGGATATAACGTGTATCGTACGATTATATAAGGAGCAATACGGACGACACACCAGCGTTTCCTGGTCGTTAAGTCAACACTCCTTTGTTTAGACATAAGAGACTGAAATATTTCATCGAAAAGTTTTTACAAAATTTTAAACTAAAATTCATTTAACATTTTTTTTCCAATGGCTGATTGTAGAAGTTTAGTACTTTTAATCATCTTAGCTATAAACTTATCAATTTTATTCGCCAAACCTTTAATTATCGGAGGGGCTTTTAACTACAATTCCACCTCTCATACCCACAACCGGCGCCACAGGTCAGTTGAGAATATTCTCGAAGATAAACACAAGCAGATGGAAAACTCGACCCGGATCAGCTGCAGAAACGAATCTCATCTGAAGCAAATTTTCCAGGATTTGAACCCCGGTCTGCAAGAGTCCCCCATCGTAAACTTGAGACAAGGAGTTCGATATGAAATTAGTGATAAAATCAAGAAAACGGTGCGGACGTTTACGTCTAACCCAGGAAGGAAATGTCGAACGATTGTCCACGACAGAGATCTTGGAGCTGAGTTCTATCCACAGTGAGTAAAATGCAGCAAATTTAATTAAATTAAAATTGTGCTAAGTAAAAAAAAAGTTATTGAAATTTCTCAAAGGAAAATTAATTGCATGCTGTTAAAATAATGTTACTACTACGCGTCCGATCAAATTCTTAAATATGCTTTTTATTTATCGATTTAAAAATTCCGTACTTAAAAGTGTATTTGCTCAGTTCAAAAATAGATCTACCAGTTATTTTAAAAAGTCCTTCTAAAATATATAGTTTTCACATTTTTAAATATTCCATTTAAATGTGAATAATAAAATTTAAGTTTCTTAAATATGTGAAAAAGTAGAAAAAAACATATATAAAAAAATATTGCATTAATAAATAATTTAAATATTTGCAAGATTTAAATTTTTGCATAAAATAATTAAGTTGGAACATTTCAGAAACTTTAAAAAGTTAATTTGAATATATAAATGAAATTAAATTAATACGTGTAAAGTATGTCTATAATTAAAAACAAAAAAAAAAATAGTATCACATGGGAAGAAATCGAAATACAATTATATTCTGATATTCATCAATAGCCTGCATATTTTAAACACACATATTTTGTCAATTCGTCTATGAATATCTTTTTAAAAAATAAAAAATTCTAAATACAAATTTTCTGTTTAATTTGTAAAATTGACAACCAGCAAGGCTGGCTTTAATCTTTTAGTATCTTTGTGTTATTTTCGAGTTGGTAGATTAAGTTTAAACAAACACTAAGTATTAACACAGTGAAAAGAATTGTACAAAAAGTCTCTGAGCATTGAATGTTTACTGTTGTTACTTTTTACAACATTTATTAATCAATTTATCAATTGAAGGATTATACTTTATACTTTAAAAAATTACGAGTACTTTTAAAAAAATAAATTCAAAACCAATAAATGAATTGATATTTTTAACTTAAATCGTAAATTATTAGGGTCACCCATACGCTTTCTATAAAATCATACAGCCAAATACAAAATGCGCTTCAATCAATTGTTAACATTAATGCTTAATCAATTTATATCGGTTGAAATGTTTTTAGAATATAAACTAGTAAAGCATTTTTAAAACAGCGTAAGTAAAAATGTTTAACTTGCTGTTGTAAAGTGTAATGATCTTCTAAAGCATTTTTAAAAAGTTGATCCAATTTGCTAATGACAATGTACGTGTCTATTTAATATGATCTTTCAAAAAAGCGCCTATGAGTTTCTTCTTTTTTTTTGCGTCGTAATTACGAAAACGTTTAGATATGAATTTATGATTGAAAGATACTGCATGTAGAAATATTATTTGAGGTTATGGTAAACAATTATTCAACTAGGTGTTGTTAGTTTACATAAACTAGAAGTTGTTAGTTTACATAAACTAGAAGTTGTTAGTTTACATAAACTAGAAGTTGTTAGTTTACATATTTTAATGACACGCCCCTGTCAGCTCGCGGCCACTTGCTAAAGTAAACATCAGGTATTTATAAACAGGCAGCTAATTAGATGACTAAGGCAGATTGGCCTTTCTCTACAATGATTTTATTTTTTCGAATAATCTTGTAGGAAACCAAAATTAATTATCTCTTCTGGTGAGAATAGTTAATTAACTCCCACATATTTTATACATACATTTTTACACACACACATATACTTTTACACACACACATATATACACACATATACATATTTATATATAGCCGATATATTTACACACACACACACACACATACATATATATTAAATGGTGGAATTATAATTATATTTATTAACTTCCTTGTTAGATAGCCACAGAAAGCCTAATGAACTGCCCTGTACGTTAATTAAAAGAGTAATAAATGAATGACCGTTGCATTCTATTTCCGGCTGAATTTTCCTGTGTTTGGTGTTGTTATTGTTTGACGTCTGCTTATTTGACGCATGAAGGTCAGCGTGAACTTCCTGACTCGGGCGCGAGATTAATTAATGTATTAAAAACAATTATCAGTCTGTCAAATTAAGTGTTGTTACGTTAGAGGTAATACTGCCTAATGAAAATCTCTAATAATAGATGAGAAAATTGTATATTTATTTTATTTAAAAAAAATATTTGTTTCATGTCATGTCTAGTGACCAACATTGACCAACACCTTAAAATAATTTAAGATTAGTAAAAATATTTTTTTTTCTAGTTTTCTGTAATTAGCAAATGAAGCAAAAAAGTTATTAAACTAAAAAATATGCAGCTAAATAATATACAGCTTTATATCTCACTACTGGAGTAATGTGTATTTTTGCAATATATATATATATATATATATATATATATATATATATATATATATATATATATATATATATATATATATGTTTCCATTAAAAGTTGTTGTACGCCTACATTCAATATTTCCTAAATCCTTTTAAATCCGTTAGATGAGCAATACATCAGAAACAAAATCATATTCTCTTTGTTCAATTTAAATATTGAAATACATCTAACAAATTGTTGTCCTTGCTAAAGTTGTTTCAACTATTGTTTTAGCTATAAGAAATGAAACACAAATAGCCAGCACTGCCCTCTATATGGATATAATAATTTTCCTACCATAATTAATTTAATATTCATTCTAAATTATAAAATTGGGTTCAATCTTTAATGTAAGTAAAAGAAAAAAATTCCCATGCTTTTAGTCGATTAAAATATTACTTTTACTTTAAGAAATAGAGAAACTGTTAGCCAGATTTCCAACCCAATTTTTTAAAAGTAGTCTTATGTTAATGTATTTTTTAAAGAGCCCTGATGATAATGCTTTTGTTACACTGACATAGACTATATTTGAGCGAAACGTGTTTAAACTAGCAATGGTTAAACCCCCAGTACTCGAGTTATTTTTAGGTGTTCAACATCTATAAAATGTCTATGCGATGTTAGATAGTGTGACTAGAATGATCTGCAACATTTTTCTTTAGGCTTATCTCAGGGGTGTGTGTATGGGGGGGGGGGGGGGGTAGTGCCACCTCTCCAACCGGATCACATACATCGCCTGTCGGCCAAAACAGAACCATTTGAAACATTGTCCACAACCCGGAAAAGTTTTAAATGCACTCCCCTCCCCCTCCCCAGGAAGTCAAGTGCGCTCCGAAGAAAAAAAAAAGTCTTAAAAAAATTGTCAGTAAACGGTATGAGGTATAAGTACATTACATGTATAAAAAGTGTTAATAGGTTTAATATTTTAATTTTCCTCCAGGTATATAAAGGAGATCACGTGTTCATCTTCTGACCTTCGAAGGTGTAAGCGGAAGTTCCAGAACGTGACACTTCTCAAGGTCGATCAGTGCACGAGCGGTATAGCCGGACTGACCCTGGTAGAGAAAGTCGTGTCGTCTGGTTGCTTCTGAAGGCGGGAAACAGAATCGCGGGAAAGAACATTACCCGACAGACCCAGAGGCTAGCTTTGGCTAAAACTAGCATCAGCTAAAACCTAGCTGAACATTTTGAATGGGTTTTGCCGCCTGCTTATGTTTCATTATGTTAAAAACGTTGTTGTGATTTGCAATAAAACAAAGTTGGATATTAAATTAAAAAAAATGAACATTTTCTATCAGCGTTTTTGATGTTAATCTAAAACAAACATTGTGTTGTTTGCTTTGATGTTCTATAAGGGATTATCCCGACGTCACGCTTTTTAAAAACGACCACGCTCACAATCTTTACACGTCATCACAAAAAGCGATGCCCACCCCCTCCTTTTATAGACGTTACACCGGTCTTTCAATCCCTAGGAATAGCAACTTTCTTATTTAAACTTCGATTTCTCAATAAAATAACGGATTTTGGTCAACATTTAGCATGTTAGTATTTCTAATACAATTTGACAAAACAGCCTTTTAAAACTAGAAATAACGCCTAAAATTCAGTTTTTAACTTATAAAATACAAAAGTTTGTCACATATTCTCCTCCCCCCCCCTACCTTGATCTCACATCGTCGTAAACGGAAGCAGTAATATCTGTGACATTTTGGAGAAAACATGAAAAAAAAAACATGATCTAACTGGAGCATTTATTAACGACATGAAAATGGTTTGGTGCCTAGTAAAGATGGCATAACAATGGAGAAACGGTCAAAGGATTATTAAATTTAATACATTTCGGGTGCGGGGGAAGGGGGGATGGGGTTAATTTCCAAACACGAAGCTGACCAAAATCCGTTTGAGGTAAACCTTATCTGAAGAAAAGTTTTGCAGTCTGACGATGCTATAAATAGAATACACCAGCACCCGCTTTGTAGAATGCAGACACTATCAATAAAATTTCCACACGCAAGGCAAAAGGAAGTGGATACACCCCTGTAAAAATACTGGTATGGATTCCATAAATAAAGAGTATCCATAACATTGGGTTACAAAACTATGAAACTCAAGTTTATAGACAACCCAATCATCGCTGCTTTATTGCGGGTCTTGTATTGAATTTGTTGCTACTGGGTTCGAATAATAAACAACTTGTAGCGAAGAAAAAAGAATGACGTTCAGATACCAATTATTATCCAACAAATTATTTGCACCAATTTCTGTAAATATATAATAATGAATCGCATTTAAATAACTAAAAAGAAAACGTGGATCACTACATTATGTATAGTATAAATTTACTAAAATGTAAGAAGCAATCCACGCTTTTCTTTTTAGTTATGTAAATAGCAGTTCATTCTTATACATTTCATGAAAATGATTGTTCTACATTTTAGTGCATAATTATATAAAAGCTTGTTATTAAAACGTTTTTCATTAATTTTTTTTTCAATACTTTAGAATTTTTAATACAATAGAATTGCCTGATTAAAGACAACTGAGTACCAAATAAACACAAACCATGTGCACATAATAGCGTAGGAAATAATAATATAGATAGGTCATTATACTTAATTCTTTAAAAATTAATTAAGCACCCAATTATGTTCAAATTTGCTGTCACAATGAATTGCTATTGGGTCTTAACCCACGTGCAAAGTTTGAAAGAAATAGGTCCGTTTGAAGTGCTTGAACTTTCGCTCGCTAGTTTCGACCCATGATAGACGACAGACAAAAACACGAGGCAAGTTAAATAGAAGCTTGTAAAAATTTCAAAAACTGCGGAAAGAGATGAACGGTTCTTTTAAAACACCCAAACAAAAAATATAAGATGACTCTAAGAGTCTAAGACATTGCCGACAAGGGACGAGCATCAATTTTCATAACGAAAAGCGTAATTTAGCTTGATTATTTCCCTTTTACTTCAATTTGTTTTTCTTAAAATTAAAATGAGGTCAAGAATATATTTAAAAACCATCTACTCTACATAAACAAATACTTAAAAAATGTCGTTGGAATATTCATCATTATGAACTGAGGGAAAAGGCGATATTTTGCACAATTTTTCTCCATTCTCACCCCCCCCCCCTTTTTTTTTTATTGTATTGTTAGTATTCCTTCCTTACCAGTGTTTCTTTCAGACTTTTTTCTCCGGGGGGGGGGAGGTACTTTTACCAGTGTAAAAAGTGTATATTTTCTGTAAAATTCCATTTAGTTAAATATAGGCCTACTACCGAAATTACTAAAAATTGCTAATCTTAAATGCGAAAGGAAAGATCTGCACTCATGAACGATAACTAGGAATACCCTAAAGGGTAAAGGTCATTTATTAATAAGGCAACAGACAGGTAAACAAAACAATTTGATATTTTTATTTTTCTGTTACTATATGCTGCTCTGTTAACCAAAGACAAAGGGTTATTAATGAATTATTGATAAATAAATACATAGTGCCGAATATTGCGTCGTAGTAGGCATATAATAATTTAGATCTCGACCCCGTTGATTCTCCTGTACGAGCAGTCACGGACAACTCAGCATACAGCAGTCGAAGCCGGCTATGATCAGTGCACTCAGGTGACACTGTCACAGTATCTATCAGTATTATTCAGTATCATCTATCACTTCCACAACATCCAGCTATTTGATTTGGTCACCTGACAATACTGACATCTTTAGCTTTTAGTAGATCTCTAGGCTTATTTGTTTTACTTAATTAACCAACACCTGCCCCAAGTTCGGAATGGTACTTTACAAAATTACTACCTACCTTCTACCCAGCACCTGGTGTATTTTGCACAATTGAAATGGTCTATTATAATGAGAGTGGCCTAAAATATTCAGTAAATGATCTTTAATATAGTAATAAAACTAACTGGGAGTGGGGGATTGTTTTCTAGCTGCTGCTAGTGAAGTATTGGTACATTCCTTTGTGAATTCATTCCAATCCTCTGTTACTTTCAAGCCTTTACGATTATGCTTTAGCAAATTTGGGACTGTATGGTTGGGAATGCTGGACTGCTAACCCAAAAGTTTCAAGTTTGGATCTTGGGCTTGAATATACATGACAACCATAAATTCATAAATGGGTGCCTAACTTATGTTAGGGAAAGTAAAGAGGGATGGGTATAGAACTGACCACACAATCCCTTGATATGCTGTGGTCACAGACACAGGTGAACTCTACTTCACCTGACCTATCGACCATCAGGTCCAAAAGGATATTTTACTAAATTTTTATTTACTGTATTTAGACGGTAGAATTTTTTGTTAATTTTAAATATATTTTGGGTGAAACTCATTTGAATGCAGTTGCATATATTGATTGTTGATATTATTTTACAAATTAAATCCCTTTTTTACAGATGGCTGAAACATATCCAATACTTACAGTTTATTCATCTGAATTTTTTCACAGTTTCTAACTCGTAGTCTATAGTTGAACAAAAATGGACCTACCGAAGGCTAGCCTTATAGCGCAGGTCCAAGCCCCCATCCAACAAATTTTACGCCCTGCGGTATGGATACCTGGACTCCGAAATCTGCACAGTCATCAGGAAAAGTAAGTTTTTGTCCATGTTATCTGTTGCATTACAGAATGCTTATTAAGGATAATTTTTCTTGCAAGCTGTGTTTCATCTTAGTTCCTATGTTTATAAACTTTCAAAAATAGCATTTGAAATAGGCAAGAATGAAATGATGTCCAGTAAGAAAGTTGCTTTTTACTGGATTTTTTCTTGCATCAAAGTTTGATTACTGGGATGCTTGACCCCATACTTGAAACATTTCTGTGTTGTATTTCTATGCATATGGTTTATTAAAAAATATAATTTTGTAATCCAATCTGGCACCCTAACACCTAGTTAACAACTAAGAGTGGAATAAATTAAAACTTCTATCCACTGCCTTTAGTTTAAAATAAAAAGTTAGTCATCTGAAAAATACAGACTTTTTTTCAGTTAAATCTATTGATTTTTAAACAGGACAACTGGCATTTTTAAAAATATTTTATTTTTTAATATTTTATACATAAAAGCAGATGTCGAGACCAAAATTATTTTTTTGGTTAGATATCCTGCACATGTGTCAGTGAAATAAAACACATTAACTTTAGCATTGAATGAAGAAAATATTCTCGATCCACAGATGGAAATTTAAAAGTGATTCTGTTAAAGATAACTTGGATGCAATACTACGTGCAGTGGCTGATGTTGCTAAAAAATACAGAAATAGATCTTACTGGGATATACACACAGTATGTTATCATTATTGTGTTTATGGGGGCAATATGTTATTATATTGTATAGAGGTTGAATATTGTCATTGTATTGTATGGAGGTGGAATTTATCTGTATGTTGTCTGGGAACCCAGTTACCTACTAATGTAAGCATGGATTTTATCCTCCTACTAACAGTGCAAAAAGGAAGAATCTTATAATTTTTCTTTACCATGCCTAAGTATTTTTTTTTTTTTTAGAATTTTTAAATTTTCAGGCCGGATTCAAATCAAGCAAAAAAAAAAAAAATTCCTAGCCTGTAAACATCATGCACTTAATTATATTTAACTGTGATTCTTTATTTCTTTTTGATCTTCTCATATTCAGTTGTTGTCTGTAAAATTTTGAATGAAATTATTTAGATTATTTATACTATTGCCAGAATGAATTGCAGGTTGCGCGTGGGTTTCTACGAATCTTTGTGTATACAAAAGCAGAGTGGCTGGATATCATAGAAATCAGCTTGCTGGGCAAAACTGCAGAGGTAATTTGCTTTGAACTTTCGATGAATGAGTGGTAGCATTAGTAAGTGAAGAGCACCAACTCCTAGAGATCTGTGAGTTAATCAAGTGGTGAACTAGTATAACTAAGGGAAACAAGTTGGTTGTCAAGGAAGAGTACAGGCAACAAGGGACAGCACTGGTACACATTCAGGTGTAAAAGTCTGTTAAGATAATCCAGCACCAGTTTATTATTTTTTTTATAAACCAGTTTTTATTGTTATTAACAACATAACTTAATCCTTTTTTTTCCTCTGTATTTCTGAATTTCAAGACAAAATGGTTTATATAAATACTTTTTTAAAACAAATTATAATTTTGTATGCTACAATACAGCTAACTTATAACAACCTTTACATTTAGACCTGTTTATTGTATTTCCAATATTGGCATAATAATATCTTTTTCTTTTTAAAAACCTTTTTAATTTGTATGCTACAATATAGCTAACTTATAACAACCTTTACATTTAGACCTGTTTATTTTATTTCCAATATTGGCACAATACAAATATTTTTCTTTTTAATTTTAAGGTCTGGTCTTTTTCTTCTGGATTCCTTCCCTTGATTGTACCCTTTGCATGTATTTTAAATGTGGTAAGTTTTTGTTTGTATATAATAATGTATTAATTGAACTAATAATTATACATATAAAGTTTGCTATTGACACAATAAAGTGTTTTACCAGCATGATTTTCTTGATTTTTAAAAATCTTTTATTAACTCTGCTTCCCTGTACTTATATATGTTTCTATCTACCTACAATGTAAGTTAGGTAAGGACAGCAAGTGCAAAGTAATTTGTTGACTTCTGATAAGGTGATGTAAAAAAGGTGTACTCTACCTTACACGTCCTAGAAACAACACTAGTTTTTTCTGTGTATGTTGTTTTAACATATATTATGTTAGCATGGTTTCACTGCACAGAACATACATTTTACATACACCCGCCAGATATCTCGTCTTTGTAACAGGTCAATGTTTAGTTTATTGGTCATTTAGTATGACATTTTGGTCATTTAATATAAGGTATTTATCAGTTTATTTAGTATGATGTATTGGTCAATAATTATGATGAAATTATCATTTAGTGTCATTTAGTATGATGTATTGGGATTATTTAGCATGATGTATATATGATCATAATCTGAATTTAAAAAAAAAAATTTTCTCAGCCCCTGTTCTGGATCCCATTTGCAGACATGGGACTCAACAAGAAGAGGATTGACCAGATAGTCGCAGCCATGGACCTTACAGTCGACAGACACTGATGGTTTATGTATTCTATTAATGATGGAGTTATTTAATTTTTTAAAATGTATGTTGTTTTTTTTTTAATTTTATTTTAACTCAGGAGATAATTATTTAATGTGAGTTGTGAAGCCTTGTGAACTGTTGATTTTTTTTGTTTCCAATTATTTAATGTGAGTTGTGAAGCCTTGTGAACTGTTGATTTTTTTGTTGTTTCTTTAAATTATGGTTTTAAAAAGAATTTAATAATTATATCTTTGTATTGAACTTTTAAAGGGAAGTAAGTCAGTTTTATGTTAAACATGGTTAATTCCCTTTAAGACTAAATTATCATTAAATAGAAATAGTTCTTGTATATCATTTTACTTTTTTTTAAAAATCTATAAAATTATTTACAAAATTAAATTATGAATTTATTTGTTGAATAAGATAAAACTGTTTAAATGTATTAGCATTGTAGCTATCCCCATTTTAAAAATGGTGATATCTTGAATGTGCTCAGCTCCAACTGGTACCCAGCATAGATTTAAAGGTGGCTGGACCCAGTACTGGCCGCACAACCCTCTTGTGTGTACTATAAACCGCAAGGTCATGACAGTGAAAGTTTAATCTTTACCACTAGATGTCAAGAGCTTGACTACCTCTGTTATCCTATTTCCTGCAAGTTGTTGTTCGTGAATTCTAACAGCATTACATTTGTTATGTGTTTCAAAATTTATCATCTTTAATCTGGCTTGTTGTGGTCTATTGTTTTGTTTCCTTACAATATTACATTTGTTATGTGCTACATTTATTATTCTTATTCAGGCTTGTGGCTGTTGTTTATTACAGTATTACATTGGTTATGCGTCACTACATTTACCATCCTTATTCTGGCTTGTTGTGGTCTGTTGTTTCCTTACAATATTACATTTGTTATGTGCTACATTTATCATTCTTATTCAGGCTTGTGGCTGTTGTTTATTACAGTATTACATTGGTTATGTGCTACATTTATCATTCTTATTCTGGCTTGTGACTGTTGTTTATTACAGTATTACATTGGTTATGCGTCACTACATTTACCATCCTTATTCTGGCTTGTTGTGGTCTGTTGTTTCCTTACAATATTACATTTGTTATGTGCTACATTTATCATTCTTATTCTGGCTTGTGACTGTTGTTTATTACAGTATTACATTTGTTATGTGACTGCATTATGTTATAAGCTGACAATCAATGTGTGCCTAACACTGTTAACTAGACTCCACATACTGTGTGATATGATGTGCTTATGTGTGGAACAAACCATCATACGTTGTTGATTTACCTATGTTGTTCATATACCTTGTCCCTGGCATTATCATATGGAAAGGTGGGTTGGCTGATGGGGTGGAACTCTGTCACCCCTACGGTGAGGGTCTCACCCCTACACCCCCAGCCCTGATTATGCTGATGTTTTTTAACCTGTTCTTGTTATTTATAGAAATCCGACATTTAAACTGTGCTTGCCATGACATTTAGTTTGATGTCATTTGTCTGTCTGTCTGCCTTGACATTTAGTTTGATATGTCATTGTGTCTCTCTGCTATGACATTTAGATTATGTCATTGTGTCTCTCTGCTATGACATTTAGATTGATATGTCATTGTGTCTCTCTGCTATGACATTTTGTTTGATATGTCATTGTGTCTCTCTGATATGACATTTTGTTTGATATGTCATTGTGTCTCTCTGCCATGACATTTTGTTTGATATGTCATTGTGTCTCTCTGCTATGACATTTTGTTTGATATGTCATTGTGTCTCTCTGCTATGACATTTAGTTTGATATGTCATTGTGTCTCTCTGCTATGACATTTTGTTTGATATGTCATTGCACCTCTGCCATGACATTTTGTATGGCATGACATTTGTCTGCATGGACTTGGTCAGTATTGCCATGTACCTGAGGTATTTCAAATTAAAAATGACGTCACAAAGGTGGCTGACGTCAGTGTGCCAAACACAGGTGTCAGCATTTCTGCAGTGTTTGTCTTGCTAGGCCACCTGATGCACAGGGGATGTTTGTCTTACAGCAGCTCAATTTGGTCTCACCTGTAGGTAGTTGTAACCATACCATACCTCTAGTCAAAGCGGTAGGTAGTAGTTACCCTACCATCCTACTAGTTACAGCTGTAGTAGTTACCCTACCATCCTACTAGTTACAGCACTAGTTACAGCTGTAGGTAGTAGTTACCCTACCATCCTACTAGTTACAGCTGTAGGTAGTAGTTACCCTACCATCCTACTAGTTACAGCTGTAGGTAGTAGTTACCCTACCATCCTACTAGTTACAGCTGTAGGTAGTAGTTACCCTAACATCATTCACAGCCTTTTCTCACCTAACCCTAGGACTAAGTTCATCATTCAGACTTCTCTCACAGCAGTAGTAGATAGGCTAAAGCCTCACTAAAACACTGGTTTTCTAAACTAATGATCAATGTATATCCCTTGAGGTAAAATATAAAAATCTTGGCACCTCGCTATGCCAAATAAATATATAAATAAATATATAAATAAATATATATGTATATATATATATATACACATATATGTATATACACATATATACATATATATACACACATACATATATTTATATACACACAAACATATATATGTATATATATACATATATATATATACATATATAAATATATATATATATATAAATAAATATATATATATATATATATATATATATATATATATATATATATATATATATATATATATATATACACTAACAGCAATAATACTTCAATGTACTTATTTAATTTATGTATTTTTAATTCCTGTAACTGATACATTGTTTCCTAGTTTTAATCCCAGCTCCACTAGTCCGCCTACCATTCTGTGTTATGTTGTGTATGTCACCATACTATGGTACTGTTGGTGACGTTGATTGTTTCATTTAAACTGGTTAGTTGTTATATGTGTATCAGTGAATAAAAACGTTAGGTTCGAGTGTGGCCTATGTTAGGGGTTGATCGTCTCCATAGTCTGATGGCTTTCAGTTTTCTCTGATACATGATAATGGCACTACTCTCATCTCCATAGAAGTCAATGATAAAATTTAATTTTACGAGTGAATCAGTGAGTTTTAAACTTCAGCTAGTTATTTTGTATGCTTTAGGATGTATTTTTTTTAATGTGTTGAGTTTTATCACAAGAAGATAAAACATAATTGTAGATTATAATATGGTATTTTTAAAAATAAATGATTGATTATATCTTTAACTTATGCCTATAGTATGTCATTATCCTATGCTTGTAGTTATTTAAGTCTAAGCATATTGTTGTGAGAAATACTGCCCTTTAGCTTTGTTATTTGTAAAATAAAAGCAGAATAATATTCACGAATTATTTAAATCTTTACGTGATTACACCATAAGAACGATTTCTTAGTCCTTTCTTTGACCACGATGTTTAAAAATGTCTCTTTTTTTTTCGGGGATCACCTTTTTAAGTCAAATTTAGCGTGAACTTTGAACCTTATAATTATTTGCACCACGCCTCAAAAGTCAACATGGCCGACTCATACCGCCTGCTGCTCATTATCCCCCTTTAAACACTATTTACACTGACGTTGGTTATACGTTCTTGGCTAGTTGCTTCCCCTTACGTGGCCTAAAGATGGGCGAAAGTTAGGCTCCTGAAGTTATGGCTGTCTTTGGCAGTTTTTGACGTTTTCCAGTCTTTGCTATCATTGAAGGAAAGTAAAGCTCCACTTTCAGCCTTAAAGATCTATTATGGCAGATGAGGTAGAGTTAATGTTTCTTGACCTCAGCATATGAAGGAAGGGATGGTGTAGTCAGCGCTATGCCCTGCCGCTTTGCCTTCTCCTTCGTGATTTAAGGTACCCATCACTACAAATACGAATGAAAATACTGAAATGATGATTTGTTAAGGTTAACGCTAGCAGCACAAGTCCCTATGTATTGGATGCTTCAATGGTTTGAAAAAACAAACACAACACCCTCAATTGCTTTCGGGATCGGAAATCAATGAGCGTTATAACGTCGCACATACGGAGGGGAGGGGAGATTTTTGTGACGAAAGTTGTAATTGAAGTGATGGTTTCACATAATACTTCAGTACTAACAAACAATCATTCACCAATACTTGAGTATAAATAATAACAATCATTCACCCATCACTCAGAACTAACAATCATTCACACAACACTCAGAACTAATAAATATAAAATATAAGAACTAAACGTATGCAATATATTTGTTAACTTTTGATAAGTCTACATTCATTCGAAATTTTGTTTGTATAGTGTGTGTATGAGAAGGGGGGGGGGTGGGATGGGGAAGGAATTACAAGGCCTAGCTATCCCATAGTACTACCTATGAAGAAGAGAAGTAAAAAGTAAAAAAAATTGGATCTAATCACTTGTGAACATTGTTTCTTTCAGGCACCTTTCCTGTGTGCGTGTGGGGGGTGGGGGGGGGGGGGGGGGGGGCTTGCCAAAGTACATCTAACTCCCCCTAACGAAATAGAATTTATATAGAAAATATTGCCTATACTGTTATCAGTACCCACCCCTCTCACAGAAAATTTAGTCCTACCCCACCTCGAAATTTTCTAGTCCCCCCAGAGGCGTAGCGATGGGAGGGGGGGGGGGGCAGGGGGGTACATATGTCCCCAGGCGCAGACCCTAGGGGGCGCCAAAATGGGTTGTAAAAACAAATAAAAATGTCATTTTAGCTGCATTTTTGCATTATAAATATTTTGAGGGGGGGTGTGCAAATCGAAAGTTTGAGGAGGGGGGGGGGGGAAGCAAATCGAAAGTTTGAGGGGGAGGGGGCACCAAATTGAAAGTTTGTCCCCGGACGCCGGGAAGGGTCGCTACGCCACTGCCCCTCCCCCCCCCCCCCAAAAAAAAGTGAAATAAACACTACTAGTGGATATCGGACAAAATCCAAACCGATGTATCTAACCATTTCGACCAATTCAGCCAACAGCTGACATCATTATTACAGAAAATGTCAGGTAAAGTGTCACCGCGCATGTCACCTAATGTCAGACGGCATGACCTGTCTCTGTGGAATCCGGTTTAGTCCGGTCACGTGTGACGCCCTGGTGTGTCTACACATGAAAGCCCCC